CAAGACAACATCTCTTTCTAGGCGTTTAACGATGCATAAGCAACAGGGCTCCATTAAGGAACATATCTCTTCCCACAACTAAACCATTGCCAGAGAAATCCTAGTAAACAACACAGAAATCATCGATAGATACAGCGATAGCAGGCGGCTTGACGTTTGCGAGGCACTACACATCAAGAAGTCAACACCAGCAATCAACAGCCAATTAATGCACAACTATATTCTACCCACCTCAAGACTCCGCTCCAATATAGAAGCATCAAGAAATATGGACCAATAGGCTTTCTACAAACACTTCTATTGAATACCCATTGTTTCGTGTTCTGTCTTGTGTTGATGAAATTAATACCCTATTAATGCCACCTCTTGTTCTGTCTTGTGTTGATGAAATTAATACCCTATTAATGCCACCTCACCCCATCCACTCACTCAAATGTAGATATAAAATCGGAGATGCGTAAGTTCTATTCAGTTGTGTATTTGTAAACTAAAGTCTTTGAAAATGTAATAAGTTTTACGAAACGTGCTCGTGTCGCGTCAGACTAGAAATAAAAATGAATTTTGGAGAATTGATTTTTGATTTACCTCCAACAGTGAAAAGAAATGTACGAAAGATTGAGAAAATTCGTGATAGAATTATTAATCTTACTTTTTCGGTCATATTTAATTATATATATATATATATATATGCGGAAAATCCACAGAGAAATATGAAATGAGGTGAACGTTTCGGCTATGTTAAAGCCTTTGTCAACACCAGACAGACTAAGGAGAAGAGAAGGGGGAGGATATATAGGCCGACACCTGACCCAACCCATCCCTAGGGAAGGAATTAACCAAAAACAGGTATAGCTTAGCTTAGAATGGTCAAAGAGGATAAAGCGGTCAGAGAATAAGGATGAAAGATTAAAGAAAAGCCTCATGAACACACAATAGATGAATATACAATTATAATGAGTCATTGTAAGCCTCTCTATCAGAGTTGTTTCTTAAACTGTTGTGCAATATTATAACTTAAAAATGGATCAAGTTTATACATACCAGTACTAACATTAAGAAGATTTGGACACTGATTAGCGCAGACTCAATCAAATTCCTTTCCACGAAATCCCCACAATTGGTAATGCTTTTTGCCCCATTCCAGTTAATATTGTGATCGCATAAACTCGTATGTAGATACAATGCATTAGACGTTTGGGCAGTTCTAATACTATAAGCATGTTGTGACAACCGCAATTGTAAGGACTTTCCTGTTTGTCCAAGGTACACAGAATCACAATCATTGCAGGGAATCGAATACACACAACCTGCTGTATCAGGAGAGTTTTTTATTAAATTGGATTTGATCGTACTATTAGTGAACACCAAATTTATATTAAGTTTCTTAAAAATCAGAGACAATTTTTCAAGTCCACTCGCATAAGGAACCACCAAAGAGTTAATAATTTTTGGTTTCGCCTTAGGGACGTGATTATAAAACGTACGCTTGGCTTGTACAAACGAGAAATCCAAAAACCTCTTAGGATATTGTAAACTCTTCCCAATTTCATATATTGTAGCAATCTCTTCATCAAAAAACTCAGGGCTGCAAACCCTCAAAGCTCATAGAAACATTCCTGAAAATACTGCCTGTTTAATCCTCTTTGACCATTCTAAGCTAAGCAATACCTGTTTTTGGTTAATTCCTTCCCTAGGGATGGGTTGGGTCAGGTGTCGGCCTATATATCCTCCCCCTTCTCTTCTCCTTAGTCAGTCTGGTGTTGACAAAGGCTTTAACAAAGCCGAAACGTTCACCTCATTTCATATTTCTCTGTGGATTTTCCGCATAAAATGATCAGTGTTTTGTGATCGTCAATATATATATATATATATATATATATATATATATATATATATATATATATATATATATATATATATATATATATAATATATATATATATATATATATATATATATATATATATATATATATATATATATATATATATATATATATATATATATATATATATATATATATATATATATATATATATATATATATATATGAAAAAATGTGTGTGTATATATATATGTGTATATTTGTGTGTGTATATATGTGTATATATATATGTGTATATATATATATAATGTCGTACCTAGTAGCCAGTACGCACTTCTTAGCCTACTATGGAAGGCCCGATTGCCTAATAAGCCAAGTTTTCATGAATTAGTTTTTCGACTACCTAACCTAACTGTTTCGGCTACCTAACCTAACCTATAAAGATAGGTTAGGTTAGGTAGGGTTGGTTAGGTTCGGTCATATATCTACGTTAATTTTAACTCCAATAAAAAAAATTGACCTCATACATAATGAAATGGGTAGCTTTATCATTTCATAAGAACAAAAATAGAGAAATATTAATTTAGGAAAACTTGGCTTATTAGGCAAATCGGCCTTGCATAGCAGGCCGAGTATGACGTTCTGGCTACTAGGTACAACATATATATATATATATATATATTATATATATATATATAAAACACACAACATATACATAACACCTACATACAAGAAGGTATGTACATTGGATTTGAGAGTACAAGTACAGTACTGTACATAGCATTGATGTTTTTACATTCTTGTAAAGCCAATGTGACAATGTCTATTGAATTTTGTAAATGAACTTAACTAACTTGTAAAGCCACTAATATGCTTTGCATTTCAGGCAGCTCCTTAATCTAACATAATTTTTAGTAGGTAATTTCTAGCAAAATTGAAAAAATGTTAACAGGTACAGTGTAAGAAAATTTGACAAAGATTATTAGGTATATTAAAAACAATTTTGAGGGTTATCAACAGGTACATGTTAACAACATAATTTGAGGATTATTTCAAGATATAATGGGGTAAAATGTGTTCAATATAACAACCATGATATAAGATGACATCAATGATTACACTGGTGAAGTTGTATAGCTTAGGTACATATATTGGGGGATTGGGTAGCACTAAATACAGTGCATGTTTAAAGCACTAGGTAGGAAACTATGAAGATGAAATCAGGTACTTTTTGGTTTTGTTTTTGAATAAGGCAAAAGTTGGACAGCTTTTCAATTCGTTAGGGAGCGAGTTCCATAGACTGTCCATTTATTTGCATAGTGTTTACAGAGATTGTTTGATTCTGGGGATATCAAAGATATATTTTTCTGGTGTGGTGATAATTGGTTCTATTACATCTGTTTAGGGAGAGTTTGAGCAGGGTTTGCATTTAAGAACAGGGTTTTGTAAATGTAAGTGGCACAAGAGAATGTGTGGAATGAGGTTATATTTAGTATATTTAGGGATTTAAACAGAGGGGGGGAGGGTGCTGAGTATTATCTGAAAGCAAAGTTTATCGTTCTGATAGCAGATTTTTGCCAGGGGGGGGATGATGATGGGCTTGAGGTACTGTACTGTAGTTTGCAGTGGTTGAACCCCATGCACAGATACCATATGCAAGATAAAGGTAGATCAGCGCATACTATAGTGAGAGGAGAGCAGAGTTTGGAACATAATATCTGATATTAGAGAGTATACCAACTGTTTGAGACTGTAATTACCTAAGTGTAGTTACAGGATGAGAGCTACGCTCATGGTGTTCCGTCTTCCCAGCACTGTCATATAACGCTTTGAAACTACTGACGGTCTTGGCCTCCACCACCTTCTCACTTAACTTGTTCCAACCGTCTACTACTCTATTTGCGAAGGTGAATTTTCTTATATTTCTTCAGCATCTGTGTTTAGCTAGTTTAAATCTATGACCTCTTGTTCTTGAAGTGCCAGGTCTCAGGAAATCTTCCCTGTCGATTTTATCAATTCCTGTTACTATTTTGTATGTATTGATCATATCACCTCTTTTTCTTCTGTCTTCTAGTTTTGGCATGTTTAATGCTTCTAACCTCTCCTCGTAGCTCTTACCCTTCAGTTCTGGGAGCCACTTAGTAGCATGTCTTTGCACCTTTTCCAGTTTGTTGATGTGCTTCTTAAGATATGGGCACCACACAACAGCTGCATATTCTAGCTTTGGCCTAACAAAAGTCATGAACAACTTTAGTATATCGCCATCCATGTATTTAAATGCAATTCTGAAGTTAGAAAGCATAGCATAGGCTCCTTGCACAATATTCTTTGTGGTCCTCAGGTGATAGTTTTCTATCTAGAACCACCCCTAGATCTCTTTCTTTATCGGAATTCTTTAAAGATTTCACATAATATATAGGTTGTGTGGGGTCTATGTTCTCCTATTCCACATTCCATAACATGACATTTATTAACATTAAATTCCATTTGCCAAGTGGTGCTCCATCTACTTATTTTGTCCAGGTCTTCTTGAAGGGCATGACAATCATCTAAATTTCTTATCCTTTCTATTATCTTAGCATCATCAGCAAACATGTTCATATAATTCTGTATACCAACTGGTAGATCATTTATGTACACAATAAACATCACTGGTGCAAGAACTGAACCCTGTGGTACTCCACTTGTGACATTTCTCCATTCCGATACATTGCCTCTGATTACTGCCCTCATTTTTCTATCAGTCGGAAAATTTTTCATCCATGAAAGAAGCTTACCTGTCACCCCTCCAATATTGGTGAAACTCCATCTGGACCAACTGCTTTGTTCTTACTTAGTTCCTTGAGCATTTTTCCTACTTCGTCTCTAGACACCTCTATGCACTGTATGTTGTTCTCTGGAATTCTTATTGTGTCTGGATCCCTGAATATTTCCTTTTGCACAAACCACACTTTGAAACTTTTCGTTTAATGTTTCACACATTTCCTTTTCATTTTTTGTGAATCTGTTTCTCATTTTCAACCTCTGAATATTATCCTTTTCCTGCAATTTGTTGTTTGTTTATGAATTATAGAATAGGCCTGGCTCTGTTTTACATTTGTCCACAATCCCTTTTTCAAAATTTCTTTCTGCCTCTCTCCTCACTGCCATGTAGTTGTTTTTCGCATTTTTGTATCGCTGGTATGTTTGGGGGTTTGGCCTCTTCCTGTGTTAATTCCATTTGTGTCTTTTGGTCTCTGGTCTTCTCACAATTTCTGTTGGACCAATCTTCTTTCCTGGTTCTGCATCTCTGCTTTGATATAAATTTTTTTGTGCCTTACCTTGAGGTTACCTTGAGGTGCTTCCGGGGCTTATCGTCCCCGCGGCCCGGTCGTCGACCAGGCCTCCTGGTTGCCAGACTGATCAACCAGGCTGTTGGACGCGGCTGCTCGCAGCCTGACATATGAGTCACAGCCTGGTTGATCAGGCCTTTATCATATATTTCACAAAACTTGACATACATCTCATTTACTTCCTTGCCTAGCAACAAGTCTATCCAATTATACTCATTAAAAAATTTCTATGGTCCTCATAATGTCCTCTCCTGAAGTCAGGTTTTTCAACTACTTCAACCTCCTTATTTTCTTCCAGATTATAATGCATTGCATATTTTATTCCAAAAAAGATATGGTGACTTTTACCCAAGAGAGTAAAGTACTGAATGTCAAATACCTCTTCCTCTTTCCTGGTAAATATCAAATCTAGCATGGAAGGAACAACCTCTTCCCTCATCCTTGTAGCTTGTTTAACATGTTGATACAAGAATGTTTCCAAGATGAGGTCTACAAATCTACAGGTCCAAAATCCTCTGTTCTAGCTTCATATGCTTCCCAATCTATGGATTTCAAGTTGAAAGTCACCTACTACCAACAGTTATGATCTATCTTTATCCGCTCTCGCTATAATCTCTCTCATTATTGTTATAACATCCTCTTGTTATGATCTAACTCCTCCTTTGTCCAAGTGTTGCTTGGTCATGGACTATATGCATTTATGATCATTAGTTTATCATCCTCATGGCAGATCTCTAGTGCTACGTCAACTTCTCGTGGATTGGCAATCATTATTTCGGTTACCTTTAGGTGTTCTTTCACCAGCATAGCAATGCCACCGCCTTTCCTAATTTTTCTGTCCTGTCTCCAAATTGAGTAGCCACTACAGAATATAACCTCGTTTTAAATAACATCTTCAAGCTTCGTCTCTGTGAGTGCAACAATGTCTGGCATCTGCAGCTGTATTACATCACTTAACTCCAGTGTCTTCGATCTCACTTCATCTACATTGGTGGTATACAATTTTGAGGAACATGTTCCCCATCTCCTTATTCTTCACTACTCCTTTCTCTAGCAATTTTGTTGGTTTGCCTTTTTGTATCATTTTACTGGCCTGCCTACCCCATCACTTTGTAGAAAAAAGAATGGATTTCTTCTTTGTTTCTGTTCTCATTTAGACTTTTTGCATCTACGATGTTTATTTTCAGCTTTGCTCTGTCTTCTTTTGAAAGGTCTGCCTTAACGACCACACTTTCCCATACTTATCACTTTGTAATTTTCTAGCATTCCTTAGTACTTCTATCTGTTTGGCATTCTTTAGGGTGATCCTCAAAGGTCGATCTTTCCCAGTTACGTACCTTTCCTATTCTTCTGTATTCGGAGACATTCTCTATGGTTGTAAGACCTTCCACGAGACCAACAATTTTATCTACTACTCTCGTTTCTTCTTCAGCTCTTTCTGACCTAGATGTTATCTCCTTTTCTTTGCAACAAAAAATTATTAGACTTACTTCGATCAACTGTGTTTTGCACCAACTTCGGGTTAGATGCCAATTCCTTTCTCACTTCCAGCCTAATGTTTGTTTTATCCTGGTTGCTGCAGTGTTTGGCTTCCTTTACTGCTTCTTCTATTTTTTCCTTCTCCTTGGCCACGTGTGCATAGGTGAGTTGCATATCCTTCTTGCACTGTTCTATTCCCTGTGTAACTTCTTCCATCTGTGTTGACAAAAGTTGTTTCTCCTGTTGAATTTCCTTACCTAACCTATTGTAGTCATTTATGTTTAAATTTGCTTTAAGTTCTTCCAAAGCTACTTTTTAGAGTTTATTTTCCTCTTCCATGGCTCTGCAATTTGTTTCCAATTGATTTTTTTTCTTGCACAAGTTTTTAACTAAACCCTCAAGACATAAATCTTTGCTACTCAAGTGGTCATTACTTTCTTTCAATTTACTGATTATTTCTACATGAGAGTTCACTATAATATTTAATTTTGCCAACTTGTTGTGTAGACTGCTTATATCAATGCTTTCTTCATTGAATCCCCCAAAATCAAGTTCTGTTTTGTTTTCCTTCTTGCTGATGGCCATCTTGAATGTTGTTATCGGCACTGTAAACGGGTCCGTCTAATTACCACAAGCTACCACAAGCTACACAAGCTTCAGAAAGCTTCCTGGCAATACGTTAGTAATGAATAAATATGATATGTTAGGTTAGGCTGACCTAACCTAACCTAACCTAACCTAACCTAACCTAACTTAACCTAACCTAACCTATCCTAACCTAACCTAACCTAACCTAACCTAACCTAACTTAACCAAACCAAACCTAACCTAACCTAACCGACGCTTGGATCGTCGACTTGATTTGGCGTCACCAGCTTTTTATTTTCGTCTAATTTCTTTATAAAAAGATACTTTTTCAGATTAAAATTATGTTTTTTCGTGTTGTACATTCAGCACCAACATTATAATGAGTAAATATATCATATTTATTCATTACTAACGTATTGCCAGGAAGCTTTCTGAAGCTTGTGTAGCTTGTGGTAATTAGACGGACCGCTGTAAACACTAGGGCACCTTTTTCTCATCCAATTTTTTCACTTCCCTTGGCACATTCGTGTTATCTCACCTATTTTTCAAAAGCACTACACCTTTCTGTTCCTTGGAACACCACTCACTATCATCAACCTGTACTACAATACTTAGGATTATTGAAATATGCTGGAGCTGTAATATCAGCAAATAATATAGGTTTAAGAATGTTAGAGACAGGCAAATCATTGATGTATATAAGAAATAGAGGTCCTAGGATGCTGTCCTGTGGCATTCCAATGGTTAATGGTAAAGTGGGTGAGGGTACATCATTGATGGCTACATACTGGTGTCAGTTACTAAGATAGGATCGAATATAGTTCAGGACAAGGCCTTGGATTCCATAATGGTGGAATTTAAGTAAGAGGTAGTTATGGTTAAGGGGCATAATGCCAAATTAAGCAATAAATGAAAACTTGTTCAATTTCAATAAAAAATTTTGTATTACAGGTAGTTGTTTATGAAAGAGCTTCAACTGGTCCAAGTCACAGCATCATAGTATAAATAAAAAGGGAGAAAAAAATGTCAACAAAATTTTAATGTTAAAAAATAATCATTAAATACAAGTGTCAACTGAAATCATGTCTATGACTCTCAGCTATTACAATAGCATATAATAAAAGATTTTAATAATTAATTTTATCCCCAAAATATTTAGTTAAAAAAAAAATTCTTGTAATTTATTTCTCATTTTTTAATAAAGCGATTTGCATGAAACTAGTACACCTTACTGAACGTAAGCCTATCTGTAAGGGGGCCAATTTTGGAGGAAATTGGTTGATGTCAACCTCAGCCACAGGTAGCAAAATCTTTGACTTCATTTTTTTTTAAATAACATAAAAGTGATAACTGTATTTAATTTTATTCAATTTACATAAAACATACACCTTATATGTCGAGTTTGTCTTTACAATAAATCCAAGATACTCTATTACCAAGTTCATTTATTGATTTTATAAATATTTATAAGCATAATATATTTGCATAAATTTTTGTGGAACTTTTATTAGTCAAACTAAACATTTTGGATAATCCAGTTGGGAAAATCCTTTATTATATGCTATTGTGATAGATGAGTGTCATATAAATGATTTCATTTGAAACTTGTGGTTGTAGAGTAATTTTGAAAATGTTGAAAATTCGTTGAAAAACACGTCTGTCACCATATTGGAATCTGATCCAACTGTCAGTTGGGTCAACCTATGTATCGTATTCTAAAAATGTGCAACCATGTTGGAATAGACGAATACCCAAAGAATATTGTTGAAAATATCTTATTTGTTATATTATTTATATAACCCTCATGTTTAATTCCTTCATCATACTATTTTATTCTTTGTTTTATAAAACCTCTGTTGTTTTTCAAGTTAATTATTAATTTTGCAGGTTTGAGGATGCTGTGGGAACCAACAGGATGTTGCTGCTTCTCCCGGAGAACAGGGAGCCTTATCCTTGGCACCTTGGTTTTGGTATGATTCAGTGATTGTTTTAATATATTTTAATCAGTGGTAGCCTAGTGCTATTTACAATTTGTATTGAGTTTATTGTACTCCCCTGGTTATGCTTGTGGGTGTTCAGCTTTGGCCCTTTGGTCTTGCTTCTCAACTGTCGTTCAACTGGTAATTACCTAAGTGTAGTTACAAGATGAGAGCTATTCTCTTGGTGTCCCGTCTTCCCAGCACTGTCGTATAACGCTTTGAAACTACTGACAGTTTTGGCCTCCACTACCTTCTCACCTAACTTGTTCCAACTGTCTACCACTCTGTTTGCGAAAGTGAATTTTCTTGTACAGTATTTCTTCGTCATCTTTGTTTAGTTAGTTTAAAGCTATGACCTGTTCTTGAAGTTCCAGGTCTCGGGAAATCTTCCCTATCAATTTTATCAATTCCTGTTACTATTTTATACGTAGTGATCATATCAACTCTTTTTTTTCTATCTTCTAGTTTTGGCATATTTAATGTGTGTAACCCCTCTCCTCGTAGCTCTTGCCCTTCAGCTTGCCCTTCAGAACCTGGCCCCCTCAGAGGCACATGGAGCAATGGCCTATAGACACCCCCAGCCCCGTGTAATTGGAAGCAGTCTCTCTGCCATCTACCAGGTCAGACACCCAGAAAGGTAGGAATTCAAAAATAAACTATAGCTTGTATAAAAATTATAAACCAAAAGCCAAACTAGCAAGCAGAACTGCGCAATCAAAAACAAGCAAGCAAGCATGACATCACTACAGCCACCACGCCCTGCCTGGGAGGGGGAAGGGGGAGCCCCAGACCACCTCGTGCCGGCTTGACAACCCCAGCTCAGAGGCTGAATATCAAAACATGAAAAAAATGCCGACTGGAGGGAGGGAGGGATGGATGCTGGGGAACCTCCAGGTCTCGCCCCAGAAAATGGCATTTCATTACATTCAACGCTGGTTTTCTGTGGAGAGCCCCTTTGGCTTTCTGGAGCTACCTAATCAAAGATAAAAGAAAGGAGGGACTTACTCGGGAGGCAGCTGTTACTCGCTCCTCAACTTGAAGTCGAGACAACTGGCTGCAACCCAAGGCTACACATGCCCAAGAAGGGCCAGGAACATTAATGAGGTACAGTGAGGCCAGGATCCTGTTAGACCTCCAAAAGCCCCATGCCCGATTGTCAGCCCAAGACATGCTACCAAAAACAGCAGCCAAAGCCGCAAACTTACGAATGTCGTGGACACAGGGCTGGCTGGACCTAATAATCCTGAGGAAAACCTGGAAACCTTGTCCACCCAAAGGGCGTCCCCTGCCACGGAGGCCATGGTGCGCAAATAACGGCGAAGAGCTGCAACCGGACACACATGATGGGGGGCCCCCCCCACCGGCCAAACCAACCAAGCATCAACAACCTAAGGACCCTTCCGAAAGGCAGCAGTCTTATTCTTCGCAAGTAAAGGAGATGGTTGCAAACAAACAAAACGACCACTTGGACCGAAAGAGCACAAATTTTATCTACTCTTAAGCTGTTCTGGAAATGGTGTGCATATACTGGCTTCATAAAATGTACAATTACTGTCTAAGCTCACTATTCAGATTGTGGCAGACCGCAATCTGAATGACATGGAGATTAAAATTACTATAATTTCCACACATAAACATTTAATGAGGTATTTTTGTTTTGTAATTATTTTAACAGAATTACAGTACAGTAGAACCTCTAGTGATGACCGCCTCAAATGGCGACCATTTTGGCTAACGAACGTCCCGATCGCCGACAATTCGTCTCGTTAGGCGACTGCTCGTTTGAATAACATCAACACCACATGGTGGGGGTTTGGGGCTGCTGCTCGCACATTCTCGGATGCCTCCGACAATGTAAATAAATTATTTTTCTTTGTGTACAGATGCTATTGATGCTAGGATGTTGCAAAGCATTGACTTTTTGTAGAAAAACGAAATTAACTGTTTTAAAGAAAGAACAAACATCAAAAAGATTCGTTTGGTGTTTGCCAGGTAGGCTGCTCCATGTTTCTTATAAAAAAAAAAAATGAAGAATTTGGAAAAACAAATAATGTCAAAAAGGTTCTTGCGGTTTTCGGCAGGTAGGCTGCTCCTTGTTTCTTAAATAAAAAAAAAATAAAAAAAAAAGTTGAAACAATTTGAAAAACGGACAAATGCCATAAAGGTTCGTTTAGTGTTTGTCGGGTAGGCTACAACATTATTGAGAAATAAATGAAATACAAAACAAATGGAACACATTTGAAAGTCATAATGGAGCAGCCTACCCGACAAACACTGAACGAACCTTTATGGCATTTGTCCATTTTTCAAATTGTTTCAACTTTTTTTTTCTTCTTTTTTTTAAGAAACCTGGAGCAGTCTACCTGCCAAACACCGAATGAACTTTATTGACATTTGTTCTGTTTTTCAAAATTCTAATTTATATTTTTTTTATAAGAAGCATGGAGCAGCCTACCTGACAAACACCGAACAAACCCTTTGCTATACAAAAAAAAGGAAGAAAAAAAAAAATTGAACAAATTTGAAGAAAGAAAAATATAAAGGTTTGTTCAGTGTATGTAAGGTAGGCTGCTCCATTATTTAAAACATCGAATATCATATTGATGTTTTTCGGTGGTAGAACGGATTAATTTGATTTCCATTGTTGTCAATGGGGACATTTGTTTTGTATGACGTCCGTTTCAAATGACGATCACGGCGCCAGAACGGACTAAATTAGTTATTTGAGGTTCCACTGTACTGTGTTACAGAAATTTGAACTGTGTGGGGTAAACAGCTGTTCTGATCATTGAAGGAATTTATTGTGCATTAACCTAACCCAACCCTTAAAAATTACAAAATAAGTACTTGGCATATACTACTTTCACCCAAACCAAGCTACATTCATATTGAGGCACGATAGGTTATCCAACCCGTCCTCTTAAAAATGTCACTTTTGGCTCGTATGCGTGCTATGGCCAAATTTGGACGTTATTTTGAAATGAAATACTCACAAAAGTGACGAACTGTTCCGTTTTCTGTTTGAGTCGTCCGGCTTACTCGGTAAGGTTAGAATAGGCAACTTTCAATTAATGTTTTTCATAACATTTTGAAACTTTGAGAATTTTCTGCCCACCTAACTTATCAGAGAACCCTTAACTTACTATTGTTGAAAAAAATTCCCAAATTTATTTTCATTTTTTTTTTCATTTTCAAATTACGTCCACTTTCGGCCATACGGGCAAACGGCCAAAAGCGACGTTATTTTTAAGAGGACAGGTTGGGTTAGCAGACAAGACAGACTGTGACAGGCTGCACGAGCAAGCTGACAGGTTGGCTGGCAGGTTGTGTGAGAAGACTGGACAGGTTGTCTGGCAGGCAGGACTGGTTGGCTAACAGGGAGGCAGACTGTGTGAACAGGCTGGACAGACTGTGTACATAAATTTTACACTAGGTATAAACACCTAATTATGTGGCCTTTTTTCCTTGCATATCCTGTTTACTTAATACAAGTTTTTACTTGCAGATTGGGTCATTGCTGACAATTGTAGTCTTTTCATATGGATTGCTGACTGTTGATACAGAAGCAGCAATAAGAAAAGAATGTTACAAAAGTCAAGAGAAAGAGGACTGTGAGAAGTTAGCAGGATATGCAGGTGTGTTCATATTCAGTATTCAGAAATTTAGTTCGTATGAGTTTACACTATTTACCGGTAATTGCATTCAGTTGATACTGTCCTATGCATCCTTATCCTTCCCTTCCAATAAATTTTTATAGTAGATCACTCTTGTACTGTATTAACAAATCATTGTCGAGAACAAGAAGTGTGGGTGTGCGTAATTTAACCCATCCTCTTAATAATGTTGCATTTTGACGCATACTTTACCAAAGGCCAAAAATAGTCGTGCTTGAAAATGGTAGTGACTCAAGGAATTGACACTGTCCTGCTTTCTGTTTTGGATTCTCTAGCAGGTTAGGATAGGGCGCTTTAGTACGACAGTTTATTCACGTTAGGAAATGTTAGGACAGGTTTCGTAAATACCCAATTATAGTTATAGGATGAGATGTTCTGTCTTCTTGGTACTCTGTCATATAATGCTTTGAAACACTGTCGGTTTTGGCCTCCACAACTTTCTCACTTGTCCCAATCATCTACCACTCTGTTTGCAAAAGAAAACTTTCTAGTATTTATTGGGCACTTTTGTTTCCTTAGATTGAATCTGTGTCCTCTTGTTCTTGAAGTTGCTTGTTTCAGGAATTCCTCTTTGTTAATTTGGTCAATTCCTATTATTATTTTGTAAGTGGTGGTCAAATCACCGTTGTCTTCTATGTTCTAGCTTTGGCATATTTAACGCCTCTAGTGCCTCTTCATAACTTTCTTTTTGGTTCTGGAAGCCATTTTGTAGTATGCTTTTGCACCTTTTCCAGTTTGTTTATGTGCTTGTTGAGATATGGGCACTATACAACTGCTTCATATTCCAATTTTGGTCTCACAAAAGTCATGAACAGTTCCTTTAGTATTTCATCATCCATGTAATTAATGACAAGTCTCAAGTTGGAAAGACACATACTCCTCTCACAATGTTCTTTATATGTTCCTCTGGTGGCAATTTACTCTCCAAAACCACCCCTAGATCTCATTCATTATTAGAGTTCATTAATTCCTTTCCACCATAATTTGTAAGTTGTGTAAGGTCTATTTTCTCCAATTCCACATTCCATAACATTCACATTGAATTCCATTTGCAACATGTCCCTCCAAGCAGTTATTTCATCTAGATCAATTTGTAGGGCATGATAATCATGTCTCCTATCTTCCCCAGTATCTTAGCATCATCTTCAAACATGTTCATATAATTGTGTTCCTTCTGCTAGATCGTTCATGTAGTCGAACACGTGTACACGTGTGTACATTTGTGTACGTGTGTGTATGTGTACAACTCGCCCTCTCGAATAATATATTGCATTTTGACATATAAATCCCCAAAGACCAAAAACTGATGTGCTAAATATCATAGCAGTTCTCAAAATTGACACGATCTCCTCCTGTTTTCTATTCATGGGTCCTTGGTTAAGTTAGGTTTAGGCAATTTAGTACAATCAGTCTAATAGCATTGGAAATGCCCAAAAGAATGGGCTGCTGACCTTGGGCATAGTTTCCTTAATTTAACACTCAAAATAGACAATGTAATATTTGTGAAAGTTTAATTTAATCTCTAATCTTTACTTAAATTTTCAGTGGCTACAATGGTTGCAGTACACATGGTGGTGGCTACACTTAATGTGATATTCAGCAGTATGTTGATCCATGGTATTTTGAAGGTAATTATGAACAGTATACATACATGCATGAGGTTGAACTCGTTCATCCCCATTCCTAAGTGCATTTGGGTTGTGATCAACTTCATAAAGACTTCCATGTTTTGTAGTGTGATGGTACATCACTCAGCTTTGCATCACACGGGCGGAGGTTCTAGCCCCAGCAAGGGCATTTGGAATTTTCAAGTATTTAAAATGCAGCCTGTGTACTATTCAGGTGTAGCAAGTATATTATGTCGGTAATATACTTGCTCCATATTCTCATTAGCTTGTGTGCAGATAATGAGATGGTCTGTTAATTCTTAGTCCATTAATTACAGATAATACTTCTTCCCAAGTGTACAGTTAATACCGCTTCCCAAGTGTACAGTTAATACCGCTTCCCAAGTGTACAGTTAATACCGCTTCCCAAGTGTACAGTTCATGCCTCTTCCCAAACCTGCCCCCTCCCCGCTCAGCTCGTTGTCGCCGTGTGGGGGCTTAGTGGGCGGCTGCCGGAGTGTGATGCTCCTTGGGACAGTCCTCTGTCCTTTTCTAACCTCGTGCTCCTGCTGCCGTCCTCTCCAATTCTGCTGGGCACCTTTTCCTTTTCCTTCTGTTTCGTTTTTCTCCCCCCTCTTCTCCTATCTGCTTGCCATTTCCTGCCGACCTTTTGCTTGTTCTGGTTCTTCCCTTGACCTTCTTCTATTTTGACGCCCGGGTGCTTGAGGAGGCATACTCTTGCACCCGTAGAACTGTAGTACCCGACGTAGAGAGCGAGGGGAACCTTTTATTGTCAATCCCCCTTTCGTCACTGAACCCGATCTCGACGAACTGTCGGTTTCTTAAGGTGGCGTTTGTGGGGCGTATACTCACGACACACCCCTAGGAGGCCCCGGCAAGATCGGCGATAGCTTCTTGTTGGGTGTCCTGCCTCTAATTGTGGCTCCATGGTGGGTGTGGGGGTACATTCGTGAATGAATTCTTCTTTTCGTAATGATGATGACCCCTGTTTCGGCCGTTTCTGGTTTACCGTCTCAGGCTCGTGGGGTGGGCGACCAAGCCCCCGAGTCAGTCCGTGTTGGAAGACCGGGCTCTGTAGCCTCCGCTGCATTGGGCCCCGACCTTGCTCCTCCTTTGGCTTCTCTGATTCCTTCCCCTGGCTCCCCTCCCTCCCTCTGTGGTTGGGTCGAGCCCCAAGCCCCCAGTGGTGACTACCTCGTCCCCTGGCACGGCTCCTTCTCTAGTTGTAACTACTGCGCCTTTTAACCCCTCTCTCTGGGGGTTCTCACCGCCGTCCTCGTCACGGCCACCCTCGCTTGATTCCTTCCAGTTCTGCTACCTATCAAGCCTTGTTTGGTCCCGCTTCGTGGGCCAAATATTTTGATCTCCTCCCTCTTGATTCTGCGCCTCCTGACGATTTCTCCCTCCGTCGACATCTCGTTGATTCCGTGGATGCCTCCATTACTTTCAACCCCACTCGTCTCGGTACACGTGTCGTTGCTGCTCCTTCTCAGGATGCTGCTTCCCGGTTGGCTGCCTTATCCTGCCTTGGCGAGACCCCTGTTCGGGTCTCGAAGAACGCTCAGTTGAATGCCAGTGTTGGCACTATTTTGCTCCCGCCCCATGTTGCGACCGGCGTTCGGGACCTGCGCGACTGCCACGACGATATTCGGCATATCCTTGCTGCCCAGGGCCATTCTATTCTCCAGGTGGACACGTTTACTCGTCCCCCTCGTGGTAGTCGCCGTCAACCTCTCCGGGTTGTGAAGATTACCTTTGATGCTAGGACCCTTCCACCCTCTGTCATTCTTGCTGGTGCCAGGTGCTCTGTCCAGGAGTACATTCCTTCTCCTTGGCTCTGCAACAAGTGCTGGAGGTTTGGGCATGGTGCCCTCCGCTGCTCCGGGACTGTCTCTCTCTGTCCTTTGTGTGGTGGCGAAGGTCACTCTAAGTCGGAGTGCACTTCTCCCCAGGCTCGTTGCCTCAACTGCGGTGAGGCCCATCCTACCTTCTCCCGTGTGTGTGTCCATTTCAAGCTTGAGGCAGCCGTCCTCAACTTGAAGCACCGGGAGCGTTTATCTTTTCCTGAGGCGAGACGCCAGGTTCGCCGGCTCCCGCCTTATGCTAATATCTCTTATGCTCGCGTGTTGCGCTCTTCCTCTCCTCGTCCTTCCCACCTTCCTCAGACTCACAACTGTTTCCGGGCCTTGGACCCTGCTGCGCCCACTGCCCCCTCCTCTGTTCCTTTGGGTTGTCTACCGAAGGATCCTCCTTCTGGTCCTCTGTCTAGGGTTCCCCTTCCTTCTACCCGGTCTGTCGTGTCTCCTGTGTCTTCCTCGTCTCCCTCCGTTCCTCCTTCCCATCCTTCCCCTCCGTCTCTTGACTCTCCCCGCCGCCTGTCGGTGCGGGCTGATGTCCATCGCTCTCCAAACGGCCGTCATGTGTGCTCTCGTTCAGCTTCTCCTGTTGAGACGCTAGAATCCGTTGCCCAGTACGTGGTTGCTGGGACACCTGTCTCTTTACGTCAGAAGCGTAAACCTGGCTCCTCTCCTTCCTCCTCCCCGGCGGGTAAGGAGGTTTCGCTTTCTTTCTCGGCCCCTACTTCTGCCTCTCTCGCTCCTTCCCCTCCCATTTCGGTGGTTGCGACCCCTGTTCCTGCTATGGAGGTTTCTTTAGCCCCCGCTTCCCTCTCAGTTGCTGCCCTTGCTGAGGTACGCTCCCCTCTTTCTACCCCTCCTCTTGCTGCTGCTGTCCTTGCCTGCTCCTCTCCGTTGTCTCCTCCTCTTCCTCCTCCTCCTCTTCCTCCTCCTCCTCTTCCTCCTCCTCCTCTTCCTCCTCCTCCTCCTCCTCCTCCTCCTCCTCCTCCTCCTCCTCCGGACCCTGCCCGCCCACCTCTGATCTGTTCTCCCGTTTCCTTCCCTCCGTCTTTGCTCAGTTTACCCATACCCCCTAACCCTGACTTTGCTGACCCTGATCCCGACCCTGATATTCTTTAACGTGCTCTGTTGCTCTTTCGCCTTTGTTTCTTCCTTGTTCTCTGTTTTTGTCCTTTCTCTTCTCGTCGTTGTCCATTCTTCAATGGAACGTTCGAGGTTATTACGCCAATTTCCTCAAACTCCAACTTCTGATTTCGCGGTTTTCGCCCTTGTCTGTCTCCAGGAGCCGATGCTTGGTGCTCGTCCTGGTCGTTTTCGTGGCTATTCCTTTCTCTCCCCCCCCCTCCCAGCTGTTGCTGGGGCTTCTAATTCTTCTGCTCTTTTGATTCGTGCTGATGTTCCCTTTGTGCCTTTACTTTTTCCTTCGCCTCTCCATTGTTCTGCTGCTCGTATCTTTGTGGGGAAATGGTACACTGTTTGTTCCATTTATCTCCCCCCGAGTGTCCCGCTTTCTCTTCCTGATTTGAAACACCTCCTAGACTCCTTGCCGGAGCCTGTGCTCCTGCTGGGTGACTTCAATTGTCGTCATTCTCTTTGGGGTGACGTTCTGACGAATACCCGGGGTCGCCTTCTTGAGCCGTTTCTCCTATCTTCTTCCCTGTCTCTTCTGAATTCTGGTGAGCCCACTCATTTGGACTCTCAGACTCGCACCCTTTCTTGTCTTGATCTTTCTCTCTGCTCCTCTTCTCTTTACTTTGATTTCACGTGGCAGGTTCTTGATGACCTCCATGGAAGTGATCATTTCCCCATCCTTGTTTCCTTTTTCTCTTTTCGCCCTTCCCTCTCTTTCCCTAGGTGGCAGTTTGCTAAGGCGGACTGGACCCTATTTTCCCTCAGTGCTACTCTCTGACCTCTCCCTTCTGCCTCTCTCTCGCGCTCTCCTCCTTTTTCATGACGCTGTCTTCAACGCTGCCCTCCGCTCTATCCCTCGCTCTTCCTCTCGGGGTCCACGAAAGTGCGTTCCCTGGTGGAATGCGGACTGTGCTCGGGCTGTCCGCTGTAAGCGTGCAGCCTGGAAGAGGCACCGCCGTAGGCAGACGACCGATTCTTTTCTTTTCTTTCGGAAAGCGAGTGCGGTGGCCCGTAGGGCCATCCGTACGGCTAAACGTGAATGTTGGGCATCTTATGTCTCGACAATTACGTCCGAAACTCCTCTGGCCCAGATCTGGAAGCGTATCCGCAAGATAGCGGGTAAATTCGTTCCCGATGTTTCACCGGTCCTTCACCTCCATGATACTCTTGTGGCGGACCCGTTGCAGGTCGCTTCCGTACTGGGTTCCCACTTTTCTTCTGTTAGCTCTGGTCTTCATCTTCCCCAATCTTTTCTTCGTAAACCTGTCCTGGAGTCTCGTCCTTTAGATTTCTGCACTCGTCTTCACCTACCCTATAATGATCCCTTCTCTCTCTCTCTGAACTTCGTTCTGCCCTGGCCCTCTGCGGTTCTACGGCGGCGGGCTCCGATGGTATTCATTATGAGATGCTTCGCCGTCTCCCTCCGTGCACGTCTCGGTATTTACCGAGTCTGTATAATCGGATCTGGGAGTTGTCGTGAGTCCCTGAGGACTGGCTCGATGCCGTTGTCCTCCCTGTTCGCAAACCGGGGTCTCTGGGTACTTCCCCTAAGGACTTTCGCCCTATTGCTCTTACAAGTTGTCTGCAAACTCTTTGAACGTATGGTTAACGTTCGTCTGATGTGGTTCCTGGAACACCATCACCTCCTTTCCCCTTCTCAATTTGGTTTCCGCAAGTGCCGCAGCACGACAGATGTCCTGGTGAACTTGGAGGTCTATATTCGTACTGCTTTTGCTGCGAAGACCTCCGTTGTTGCCGTCCTTTTTGACCTGGAAAAGGTTTACGACACTACTTGGAGATATCATATTCTATCTCAACTTCATTCTTTTGGCCTTCATGGTCATCTCCCTCTCTTTCTCCGCAGCTTCCTCTTCCGTCGTTCCTTTCGGGTGCGCCTTGGTACCGCGCGCTCTGCCTCTTTTCAGCAATACGAAGGTGTGCCCCAGGGTAGTGTTCTGAGCACTACTCTTTTTCTGGTTGCCCTCAATGGTCTTCTTTCTTCTCTTCCTTCTG